CCGTCCTACGTCCTCCATCTCCGCCACCTCCTCCACCTCCTCCACCTCCTCCCCCACCGCTGCCTCCTCCTCCTGCAGGTGGCGGGCGGCTCCCCAGACCTCGCGCCGTGCATCGTCGGGGGGCCTCGTCGGCCCCCCCCCTGGATCGGCGTCTTCTCTCGTGCCTTTCGCGGGCCCGATGCGGACTCGACGCGGATTTTGCGCGGATTCGGAATTCGACGCGGGTTCGACGAGTCCGATACGAATCCGGCACGGCCTCGACTCGGATAGGGCCGCGGCGGGACTGACGGAGACCCCCAAAGATGCAACACAACAGACCCTTTGGCCGTCGCGAATACAAATCACATAATCACAGCCTCAACTGCCGCGGTACGCCCGTTCTGGGACGCCGCAACACGCAGCGTGCTCAAAGCGTCCGCGTCAACACGCTGCGTGTTGGCTCAACGAACTGGCCCACGTTTTGGCGCACGTCTCCCAGACCCCCGACGTTCTGATGTTTAATGACGCGACTTCCAGAGGTCTGGACCCATTCCCTGGGACCAGTATTTCATCCTGAGTCTTGTTTGACGGTCCCCAGGCCGAGCCATGGGCCCCCAGAGGCCGATTATCGTGGAAAACCTACCGTTGTGTTTTTTTCACAGCGCGAGGGGGTCTGGGATCGCGTCGGTCCAACGTGTTCAGTCTACGTGTTGAGCTCCGCATCCGTACGCTACGTGTTGCGTGTTGCGTATCGGGGCGACGCGAAGATCGCTACCTGCGGCCTTTGACTGTCTGCGTCTGGGGGACCCTGGGGCCATGAATTATCGCATAGAAGATCGAATGCAGAATTGAGTGACCCTAACATTAATGTATGTGTAGAATTTCGGAGACCTGCGCGGAGTGTTCTTAGATTTGCGAGCATTGTATGTTTTTCTTTCGTTTGTGTTTTCGCAGATTTCGGCCCCTGGGGGCCCTCGCCGGGCCTCGAGACCGTCAAAAAACGACTCAGGACGAAAAACTGGTCATGGATAATGGGTCAAGACTTCGGGGACCGCGCGTTGAACAAATCACGACCTCGGATCTCTGGGGAAGCCCCGACCTCTTCCCCGGGACCGGGTTTTTTATCCTCCGTCGTTTTGTTGACGGTCCCCCGGGGCCGGGCGGCGATGGTCCCCAGGGGCTGAAAGCAGCAGCGAAGTCTTCCCCGTTCTGTGTCTATACGGCGCGATCTCGTCTGGGCTTAAGTTGGGCCTGTCCCTCGGCAGAGATGAATATTCAAAACTAGTTGTTAAGAATAGTCTGGGGACGATTGTTTGACATTTTGTTTCATGTTTTATGTATGTTTGATGTATTTTCATTTTTTCTTCCAAAATCCGCCTGTAGGGGGACACGCCCGACCTAAATCTGGGCACATCTGTCCCCGTCTGGTCTTGCCCCTGTCCCGGCCCCGTCTTCTGCTCGGCGGCGAGCGAGGGGGGGTCAGTGAGAAGGAGGAGGCCTGCTCAGGAGCCTCGGTAGGCCTCTGGCCTCCGGGGAAGTTTTCGGAGGACGCAGACCAGAACCTCTCCGAGGGCGCGAGGGCTTCGAGAAGTCGTCGCCTTCTGCGAGGGCCTTCTCCGTCTTACTCCCCCCCCCCCGCTCGCGGGCGATCTGCGGGAGGATGGGGTCGATCGCTCGAGCAGCAGCCTGGAGGAAGGAGCGCACGCAGCTCAGGAACGAGACGTCCGACGAGGAGCATCGAGGGGACATGTGCGATGAGGGGTGGGGGGTAGAGAGGGCGAGAAATGAGGAGGGCGAGGAGGAGGAGGGCAAGGAGGGCGAGGAGCAGAGCGAGGAGGAATAGGATCCGAAAGAGGGGGGCGAGGAGGAGGAGAGGAGCGAGGAGGAGCAGGAGCAGGCACGAGGGGGAGCGGCTTGGGCGCGGCGGGGCGCGCAGGGGCGGAGGCAGCAGGAGGAGGCCGCCCGCCGCCCGCCGCTGGCCTGGAGAGCCCCCCGCCCAGGGGCCCAGGAGTCCGGCCTCCGGCCCTCCCCCGGCCCGTGCCTCTGCCTCCTTCTTGGAGCCTGCGTCTTGGGGAGGGAGGAGGAGGGAGGAGGGAGGAAGAGGAGGAGGAGGAGGAGGAGGGGGAGGAGGACGAGGAGGAGGAGGAGGAGGAGGAGGAGGAGGAGGAGGAGGGAGGAGGAGGGAGGAGGGAGGAGGGAGGAGGGAGGAAGGAGGAAGGAGGAGGGAGGGGAAGAGAGGAGGAGGAGGAGGAGGAGGAGGAGGAGGAGGAGGAGGAGGAGGAGGAGGAGGAGAGCATGCGACGTACGCAGGGAGTGCAGTCCATGACCCAAGGGTCCAGCGCGTTGGAAACATCGGGACGGAGGCGTTTCGCAAACTTCGGTCTCTGGGGGCCTTCGCCGCTCGCCAGGGACCGTCAAAAGACGACTCAGGATGAAAAGCCGGTCCTGGGGAATCTGCAAAGATTTCCTTGGACCGCGCATTGAAAAAATCACGACATCGGAATTCTGGGGATAGGATGACCGACCGGCCAAGATGCCTTCTCGTGCCCACCCCGTCCCGTCGTCAGGGACGTCGCATCCCCCATGTGACGGTGGGAACTCTTGGCATCGCTCGGACGTGTGCCTTTTCCTCTCGGCGAGGACCATCGAAGAGCAGCTTGGGTTTTCTTGCGAAGAGAAGCACGCACGAGACCGAAAACCGCACGGGGAGAATGGGCGTCCGAGTGATGGTGGGAGATGGCCGCCGCCGCCGGCCCAGAGCGTCCCCTTCCCCTCCCCCGTCCCGGGGGCCCAGGAGGTGCCAGTCTCCGGCCTTTGCCCGTGTTCCTCGGCCCCTTCTCCAGGCTTGCGGAGGACGACTAATGGAGAGGAGGCATGTTGCCAAATAGTTTCCAGATGTCTTACACATGTTTTGAACATGCTAAAAACCTCTTTGTAATATTTTCCCACATGTCAACACATCAAAAGTTCAATGATAGGGCTGTTAGGGTGTCCACTGTCGTGGCATCCACAACTTTAGGCGCTCGTTTTGGGGTGCTTTCTGGGGCCCACCAAATGGATCGGTTCGACTCTGGTTCGACCCACGGTTGGACTCAAGTTTGACTCAAGTTCGACTCAGGTTCGACTGAGGCTCGACTCAGGTTCGACTCAGGTTCGAGTCGGGTTCGACTCGGGTTCGACTCAGGCTCGACTCGGGCTCGACTCAGGCTCGACGGGCGTTCGAGGCAGCTTCGACGCACGTGTGGAGCGAGTGTCTCCAGGGAGGTCCCCAGAATGAACATCCAACCTGCTTGTATCCGGCTGGGGAGAGTATGCTGCGCATTGAGTGAGGTCGTTGATGAGATGAACGATGAGGCTGTGATGATTCTTTTGATTCTGAGCTGGCCAAGATGCCCACCTATAGTGCCCACCCCGTCCCGTCTTCAGGGACTTCGCATCCACCTATGATGCTGGGATGCGAAGGCGGCCCGCCACCCCCGTTCCTTGGCCCCTTCCTGGGGGCCGGCTGGGGGTCCGCACTGAGATCTCGTCGCTGCTTACCAGTTTGAAACATATCCCTATCCCTATGTTCGACATCACCTTACCTCAATGCCGATCTTAAGGGTTCCCTCAGTTTCTGAGGGCCTATCCCTAAGAGTGTCCTCGCTTTTTTCTCGCCCATTCTAGGGATAGGGATAAGATCGAGGCTGGTTAGCTGCAGCTTTTTCGCGACGGGGTGTTCTTCGCCCAGGCTCGGGCCCCCGGGCCATCAGAGATCGATGCGTGACGAACCCACAGCACACACCCATACCCACAGGGGGATCGGAGAGGGCTAGGGGTGCGTGTTGTCGGATGGGGGTCCCCGCTCGAGCGGGAGCGCTCCCCAGGGTCCGACAGCCCGCACCCACACCCACAGCCAGTCCTCCTCCCAACGACCCCCCTATGGGTGTGGGTGTGTGCTGTTCGTTCGTCAGTGCGCCTCGAGACATGATGCAGGAAGATGGGGTCCGGGGCCCGGGTCGTGATTTTGGGCGATGATTCAATGTTTGGCAACGTCGGATCTCAGGGTGAGTCAGCCACGCGCAGAAGGGGAAGGGGGAGGAGCAGACTTCTTTTGGGAGGAGGCTGCTTCTTAGAAGGCGAGGCCAGCGCCCTCTAAAGAGCAGCCTCTTTCTAAGAAGCCTTCCCCCCTCCCCCCTACATCCTTGTGCGCGCCGCCATCCGAGGTGGCCCCAGCACTGGTTCCGGCGAGAAGGGAGGGTGGGCAAGGTCTGAGGTTCTGGGTTCGAGGAGGTTTTTGGCTTGTTTGGGCCGCCAGGGGCCCTGACGGCAAACAACGAACAAAAAACACAACAAGCAGAAGCTGGCTCGCGGAATCCAACTTCACCTGCGCACCCGGGATGGTGGGTGCGCAGGTGAAGTTGGATTCCGCCCCCGTCGCCCTGATGAGGAGGGAGGAGCGAGGAGGAGAGGAAGGAGGAGGCGGGAGGATCGAGGAGGAGGGGGGGAAGGAGGAGGGCAAGGAGGGGAATGAGGAGGACGAGCAGGAGGAGGAGGAGGAGGAGGAGGAGGAGGAGGAGGAGGAGGAGGAGGAGGAGACGAGAGGGAAGAGGACGAGGAGGACGAGGCGGCGGAGGGGGAGCGGAGGAGGGGGGAGTAGGGCGAGGAGGAGGAGGAGGAGGAGGACGACGACGAGGAGGACGAGGACGAGGACGAGGAGGAGGAGGAGGAGGAGGACTGAGGAGGAGGAGGAGGAGGACGAGGAGGACGAGGAGGACGAGGTGGACGAGGAGGGGCGCGGGGAGGAGCACGAGGAGGAGGAGGAGGAGGAGGAGGAGGAGGAGGACGAGGAGGAGGAGGAGGACGGGAGGAGGAGAATGACGGGGGAGGAGCAGGAGGAGGAGGAGCACGAGGAGCACGAGGAGCACGAGGGGGAGAAGCAGGAGGAGGAGGAGGAGGAGGAGGAGGAGGAGGAGGAGGAGTTTGTTGTTTCTCGACATGTGGCAGCCTCGTCGGGAGGGCGGACTCCCGGGCCCCGCGCGTCGCCCCCGGGGGGTGCCTGGCGCGCCTGGCCGCCCCGGAGCCGAAGCCCCTCGCCGCGGGCAACCTGAGCAGGCTGGGGGCCGGGAGCAGCGACGGGCAGCTGTCTGGAGCGGCCCCGCCGTGCGTCTCTTCGGGGGCAACGGCAGGGGGGCATCGGCATCGGGGGAGGGGGGATGCATCGACCCCCAATCGCCCATGGATCGCAGACAGGGGCCCGAGAGCCCCAGCCCGCCCAGGAAGGTGCGGAGTCACTATTGGGGGCCTATCGCCGGTCTGTCGGCGATGCATCGTCGATTCCAGGCCGATGCATGTCCCCCTATGCCAGTCCCCCCGATCGTTGCCCCTGATCTTTGCGTGATATCCGGCCCTGTGCCTCCCTCAGTCGAAAGAGAAACAAATATTCACATAAACTTGTGGCGCTCCGCCCAGATTTCTTGGATCCGCGCTTGACCCCCCCCCCTGGCGGCGCCTCCTCGCGCGCTCTGCGCGCCAGGGAGGGGGTGTCTGGCGCAGAGCCAAGAGATCCGCACGGAGCGCCAAAAGTGTATGTCCACGCCGTTTTTTATTATTCGACCTGCTAACCGTAGTGACTGTGTAGACACATGCGGCCCTAGCGGGCCCCTCTAGATGAGCACTGGAGGCCCAGCTGGGCCTAGATGTGGACCGTGCGTGTTGAGTCTGTACTGTAGCATTTTGGCTTGCTTCGGGTGAGGAAAGGTGGGGCGGGGGCCCCACACTCGAAGCCACCTGCTTTGGTAGAGCGGAGCGGGCCGCGCGATAGCAGGAGCTGTTGCAGGGAGGCACTCGGGCGAGTGCCGGCGGCACGCTGACAGATGAACACGGACGCTGGGCAGTCAGGGGGTATCAGGAGATTCGCCGGCAACGGAGCCGACGCATATCGAGACTACCGTATCTGGAAAAAATGGGCTCGTGCGTACATCATCGTACAGCGGGCAAAAGGGACACCGCCGACGGCCATGGGGCCAACGCTGTTCACATTGCTGGACGACGTGCCGGCGCGGGCGATGGATATCATCGACATGGACGATCTAGAGACGGAGGCGGTGAGCAGGTGTTGTTCGACACGCTTGATGCCCGCTTCCCGGACGTCGCGGCGCACGACAGGCTTGGCGAGGCGCTCCAGGAGGTGTTCTCGCTGAAGCTGGTGAAGAACGAGTCGATGGCAGCGTACTGTGGCAGAGCCCAGGCGACATTCGCCAGGGGCGAAGCCGAGGGGTTGGTGCTGCCAGACATGGCTCGAGGATACCTGCTGCTGCTGGGAACCCATCTTTCACCTCAATGTATGGCTGTGGTGCTGGCGGCCTCAGCAATATCGTACAAGGAGCGAGATGTAGCGTCGGCACTGAGGACGATTTTCCCCAACGGTACAACCGACTTTGGCCAGCAGCAGAGGACATACCACGCGCACGTGGTCGACGACGAAGAGGACGGCACACCTGGACATCGAGACGCTGATGACCGGCCTACAGGAGGACGAAGATGAGAGTGACATCCTGGACGAGAGCGAGGCCATCGAGATAGTGGTGACTTGGCGAGGCCAGCGCAATAATCTATCCAAGGAGCAGCTGGCACACGGCTTCGGGCGGAAGAACCCGGACATCAAAACCATGGCGAAGCGGGGTCGATGCTATAACTGTGACGAGATCGGACACTTCAACCGGGACTGTCAGAAGCCGAAGAGACAGCGACGATTGCCGACTCGGGACGGCAAAGGCAAAGGCAAGGAGAAAGGCGCCAATGTGGTGTACACGGTCGACGACGACGAGAGTCTCGAGTGCGAGGTCTGCGAGGACGAGACCCAGATGGAGCTGCGGAACCACCAGGGCGACCAGCCCGACGAGGAGAACTCCGAGGACGAGATGGACGCGGTCATCGCCGCGCATGAGGAGCTGGAAGAGGACGTCCAGGCCCTCATCCAGGAGAGCTGGAGCCTGAGCGGTCAAGACGGCGACTTGGAGTACCCGGAGGTGCTGCAAACGACGGCCCACGAGCCGGGAAACGGCGTCGTGGACACTGGATGCGGCAAAGGAGTGATCGGCGAGGAGGCCTTGTCGCGGCGCAAGCAGGAGATGAGGAAGGCAGGACTGGAGGTGAAAGTAATGAAACAGGAGAGGGCCACGACGTTCAAGTTTGGACATCAGGAGACGCCGTCGTCAATTTACTCGGCGGAGATGCAGTGTCGCATCGGCGGAAGGATGTTACTCCTTCGGCTGTGTGTGGTGCCCGGCTGGACTCCCTTGCTGGTGAGTAAGCCGATGCTCAAGGCTCTCGGCGCCATCCTGGACATGGAGCGGGACGAGATCAGATTCACCAGGATCAGCGTCGCAGTGCCGCTGAAGGTCGCCGCCAGCGGACACTATCAGCTGAATCTCTGCGAGTCGAAGACAGGCGAGGGCACGAAGATTCAAGCGGCCGAAGTAGATGTGATGGCAACATCTGAGGCGACCGACCTGGAGGAGTTCGCAGCGGCGGCGGCGGCTGGTTTTCGGGGGGGCCGGGCCGGGGCCCTGAGGCTAGCGATGACGAAGAGGGGTCGGAGGCGCAATGGACCGTCGGAGTGACAGATATCATGGGCAGGAAGGCCAGGAAGGAGGTGGTGAAGGGAGCCAGGGCAGCTCAGGCTCGTCTGGGGATGCAACCGAAGTGTCTAGAGCTGTTTTCGGAGCCGCGGTTAACCGTGGAGTTAGAGAACCTGGGTTTCCAGAGCCTTGGCGCCTACGGCTTGGAGAACGGCCGGGGCGCCCGAGAAGCTGAAGACAGGCATCGCATCATGCGCCTGATCGACGCGGAGGAGCCCGAGTTCGTCGGCGTGAGCCCTCCGCGCGGCCCCCTGCCCATCATGCAGAGTATTACGCCAGAGACCAGCGGGAAAGATCCAGAGGGGCATCGGATAATGGTCAGGGAGGCAACCGGGCACTTGCGATTCTGCGCGGCGGTGGCAAAGATGCAGATCAGGAAGGGCAAGTATTTCATTATCGAAGCCCCATCGAGTGCGAAGTCATGGGAACGCGTTCCCGCGTGGAATCTGTGCAACGAGAAAGAGGTCCACAGGGTGTCTTTGAGTGGATGTCGAAACGGACTTCACACATCGAACGTGCTGATGTCGAAGGAGTGGTGTTTCGCAACCAACGCGGGCTCGCTGAAGTGGGTGATGCGGGAGTTGTGATGCCGTCGGAATCACGAACGTCGATGGTGCTGGGGCCGCATACAAGGCATCGGGAGAAGCGAATATTCCGAGAAGTACCCGACGGGGCTGAGCAAAAAGATCGCAGAGGCGATGCTGTGCCAGCTGGATGTGGACGACATCAGGCATTTCATGGAGGTGCTCTCAGCGACGGAGGCCCCCGAGATCGTGAAGAGGAGGGAGCTGTCATTGGAATCGTCATTGCGCAGGCTCCACGCGAATCTAGGGCACCCAAACAACGAAGACATGGTGCGCATCCTGAAGCACGCGAAGGCCAGCGAGATGTTAATGGCGATGGCGCGGAGGTTTTCATGCTTGGTCTGCGAGGGGCGGAGGCTGCCCAAGTCTTCCCGGCCTGTGAAGGTTCCGCCCAAGGTGGCGCCATTGAGACTGGTGGAGATGGACGTGAAGGAGCTTCCGGGCTGGAAGACGGGCATGAAGATCAAGGATCTTAACGTGGTGTGCCCGAGTAGCGGTCTTCAGCGGGTGACCCCCTTTTCCGAGCAGGAAACGGGAAGGATGCTGAAGGAGATCTTCGAGACCAGCTGGAGCATGCCCTACGGGCCGCCCGAGTTCCTGATGTGCGACGCGGGGGGGAAAAACCTCGGGCAGGACATCATAGACTCTTTTGAGAAGCAAGGCGTCGAGGTGATGGACGCGGCCGGTGAGGTTCACGCACAAGCGGGCCACGTCGAACGTCACGGCGGCTGGTTCGAGGATATCCTCAGCAAAGTGCTGGACCAGAACATTCCAACGGACAAGGACGGCTGGACGGAGTGTGTCAGAACAGTGGTGATGGCCAAGAACTCTCTCCTGCATGTTCACGGACACTCACCGTGCCAGATTGCGCTGGGCCGAAATCCGGAGGTGCCGACCGACCTGATGCAGGAGACGCCGAATGTGGCGGCCAACAGCGCAGCCTTGCACGACGAGCCGTTTGCCGAGATGGAGAAGCGTCGCCAATGTGCTCGTCGGGCCGTGATTGAGTATATGGACAACCGAACCGCTCGCGTTGAGCTGGACAGCCGACCCAGGACTGGCCGCGTCTTTCAACCGGGTGATCGTGTTGCTGCAGGGCGACGTGGACGTGGCATCCAGGGTAAAAAGGCCCACGCCCGTTGGCGAGGTTCGGCTGTCGTTCTGGGACTGGTGAAGGGTGACTACTGGGTGGCCATGCCTGGTGTGGTGATCAAAGCCGCCCCTTAGCAGCTGCGACTGGCCACGCCTGAGGAGAAGCTGGCTGCTGAGGACGTTCAACCTGAACTTCGTGCGCTGGCGAAGGAGTCCATGGACGGCCAGGGTCCGCAGCGAGGTTTCATGGACATCACGGCTGATGAACGACCTCCTGGCGGAGAAGGTGGGGCACGGCAGGCACCGGGTTCCGATTGTGCTCAGCCGCGGGAGACAGAGGGGCCGGCGTCTGAACATGGCGCTGACGATGGCCAGGCGGAAGACGAGGTTCAGAACGAGGATGAGCAAGTCACCGGCCAGGGGGAGGTCCCGGAGGAGCAGGGCCAAGATACTGTGAGACGCCGCAGCGTCGGCAAGAGGACGGCGTCGGATGAGATGATCAGGCCGACCAAAGCGAACAAGCAGGAGGATCAGATCGACAAGGGGCCGCTTCTGAAGATCCCACGCATCACGGAGGAACAGGACTCCCTGGTGGTGATCGCAGCGGAGGAAGACGACGAGGAGCTCGGAGTGTTGTACGTGAATCCAGAGCCGGAGGAAGAACTTGAGGACGTTCTACTGGCTGGAGGCCGTCGTGAAATGAATCGGAAGGACCATAAGTGGTTGAGCACGGAGGGTGAGAAGAAGATCCTGGCAGGTGTGACGAAGGAGATGACGAATCTGATCAGGGCGAAGCAGGCACTCGAGCCACTGGATAGAGTGAAGCCAGAC